TTCTGCGAGCTGACTGCTGCGGTTACATGTACTTTGCATGGAAGATGCTAAATTGTCTGCAAAGACTTACTTACTGCTGTAATGCAAACAGGAAATGTAGGCCGTTTGCTTTCAAAGTGAAAATTTACCTTTGGAAACATGTTGGGTTCAGCAGCAAGACACACTTTTAAGGCAAACACTTTCTGGTTTGCATTAAACTTTTTCTTTTCACTACTGCTTGGTGGTTAGTTAGCAAGTGTTTGCATGCAAGTGGCCACCTTCCATACAAACTACACACAACCCTGGCAATCTGATAGCAACCAAAGCAATTGCGAGATGGTTTTTCGTGCAGAGACCATCTTTGTGACTGATTTCATCTAGTGGCACCCACTCACCAGTCATGATTTTCCCTAGTATCCAGAGGTTGTCAGGGGGAGCTGACCAGTCTCTAGGCCTGTGTGACTGAGGTCTAAGGAACATCAGTTGAGGGAAGGGCAGTTTAACTACAAGAAAGCAGCTGTCACGAGGAATGCTTGCCATGTCACAGCATGTGACCATGTGCACTTTAATAAAAAAGAGTATACTAATCCATTAATTAGGGGCGATTGTTGCTCAAGAGTTTGCAGTTCGTCTTGTAATCGGAAGGTTGCCTGTTCGAGCCCCGGCTCGGACAGTCTCGGTTGTTGGGTCCTTGGGCAAGACACTTCACCCGTTGCCTACTGGTGGTGGTCAGAGGGCCCGGTGGCGCCAGTGTCCGGCAGCCTCGCCTCTGTCGGTGCGCCCCAGGGCAGCTGTGGCTACAATGTAGCTTAGCATCACCAGTGTGCGAATGACTGAATGTAGTGTAAAGCACTTTGGGGTCCATAGTGACTAAGTAAAGCACTATACAAATACAAGGCATTTAATGAAATAAGCTCACTGATTCCTAATACGACTCACATTCTGAATTTACACATCTTCATTAGTTATAATCCCTGGGAAATCACAGCAGCAGTTTTATGTCTTGGGAGGGTAAGTATCATATTAAGAACACTCTGGAATTGCGGAGTTACGTGAAGATCCTGATCCCTTTATTTGTGTTTTTCAGCTATCCGTGGGTTCTCCCCCCAGCACAAGATCACCAGCTTTGAGGAGGCTAAGGGCTTGGACCGCATCAATGAGCGTATGCCTCCTCGCAAAGATGGGGTGAACCATGTGGGTCACTCCATTGGAAAGATGAATATGTCAGAGGCAAACGGCACAGAAGACAACAGCAACATCCAGTGATGTGCTGTCTGAGCCTCAGAACTGCCGGTGGCTGCGCAGCAAGAACTTTGCTAAATCCTGAATTCAGGCCTCTGAACATAAAATAAAACAGGCTCTCAGATAGAAAATGAAATCTGCAGCAAATCTAAAATGGCAAAAAGGTCATTTCTTTCATGACACTATGTCATTGCACGGTTGGGGGAGGGGGGAGTTGGGTTCACGGCAAAGGGCAGGCATAAGGAGAGATGAGCAGGCTTCAGCACGACTGAAAAAAAAAAAGTCAAGTGATTGAAAGTTGTGTCTGCCTGTTGTTCCCTTTCTCAATTCAATTACAGACTGAATTGTTGGGGGTTGTTTTGTTTTAAGCGCTGACACGTGTCTGCTCCTTCATCACAGGGCCTGACAGCAGACATAATTGCAGTATCCATGCCTCACAAATCATTTTAACTGTTTTATAAGGTGTTTATTATGAATCACTCACAAATTCACTTGATGAGGAAAATGATCTTGTTTACGTACATGTTTTGCTAGTATTAGGTCACACCACTTCATCAGAAAGAAAGAAAGAAAGAAAGAAAGAAAGAAAGAAAGAAAGAATAAAAAAGCAAAATGCGTACCTCTTCAAACCTGCAGTGCAATCTTACTGTTGAACTTTAATTTATTGATTTACCTTGTGGTAAGAAGCTGTTGTCCTGCATGGGAAAGAGGACAGGGTGCTTTGGCCCGGCCACCAAAGATCAAACTCCACTTTGCGTATGTCTCCGTAGTCTCCAGCACTGCTCCTTTCCTCACCTTCCTCGCTGTCAGCCGTCTCCTAGCAAGACAACTTGGAGGGGATGTGGGAAGAAAAGGGAGGGGGATGAAAGGAGCATTGTGAAATTTTTATTCCACCTCTTACTGTAGATATCCCAGTATCACAAATTACATACAGTCCGAAAATGTCACACTACCCCAGAAGTTCAGAAAGTGCAACATTTGTAGGTAAATCTCAGAGGGTTTTATTTTATGTGCTTGTATCAGAGTTATTTACTTTCTCTTCACTGTCTGTTTACACATTTCACATGAGAAAAGGGCAAAAAATTATACAGTTACTTTTTGGGACATTTTACACCTGAGCATTCTCTGCTGAAGGATGCTTAGTGTCACGGGTATTTCATCTCTTCTCCATCGCTATGAACATTGTGGAATTAACACTAATCTATTCTGGACCTCAGAAGAAAGGTTTTTAAATTGTGGGACATAGCCTGCTATCAGACGCCACTCGACATTTCTCACCTGCTTATTGCTAAAGATAAAATAGTTGGTGCAGTCAAATATGAAACCAGCGCCCTTTGAGTTTGCAAATTCAGTGAGATTTCATGGCACACACTGAACTGTATATGATGAAGAAATTCTGCAAATGTGTTGTTGAAAGCTTCTCTAAAAGCCACACCATCGTGTCAATTAAAACAAGCAGGCTTGGAGCTAAACTGAAACATATTGACATGATTTGCTTTGATGATGAATCCTGACCAGAATTTAGTTAATGGATATCAAATTGTTGGACATTAAATACATGAATCTGTTAATCTGTTTTTTTCTAATTTAAGTAGAGTAGGGAAGCAGGCTGAGAAAATCTTTAATGTGATCTCAATGAAATGGATTCCCATGGCCAACAATAAGTAAGTAAGTAACTAAGTTTAAGCAGAAACACTTCGAAATCTGGGAGAGTCACGCCCAACACTTACTATATACATTTCTACAAATTCCTATCATACATCAATATTTTTTCTACTTTATATTCCATCTTTCTATTTAATGATAAAGGTATGTGAATTAAGGATGAACAAAAAGTGATTTTTACACACAGCATCTATGGTATGGAACGCATCAATGCATGCAGTTAAGTTCCTAATTGTTATGTGAGATTATAATTGTGATCGTTGTGTTTCAAATAGTAAACTTAAATTTATTTATTTTGAAATTCTATTGTTAGTTTTATTTGTCTTGTTTTATACATTTTATAAATAGGCTTCCTTTAGTTGATTTGGTCCATATATTTTTATTTTTATTCTGTTATTAATTACCACTGCTTTTAATTTTATATTAGTTTTATTGTATGCAGAGATGCCCTTCTAAGGTGTTACGCATTGTGTTTTAAATTTTTTCTGTTGTACTGATGTACAGAACATGTTCAGTAGTGTGAATGAATATAATCTCAGTGAAAAGCAACTTTCAGGCTGCCAAAGCATGATAGCATGGTTTTCAGATGTAAATGAACTGGACACAAAGAAAATCATGTGTCACACCTACATTTAACAGGAAACATTGTACTCTGGTTATATTTACTGCAGATATTATTATTGTTACAATTTAGCTTATGGTTACTTTCCTTCCTCTGTTTCTGGGTCTTGTATGGTCTACATGCATATTTCAACAAACAAATATAATGGATTTTATCTTGCAGCATTTTTTTATTATTATTATCTATCAAAATATGTTTGGGCATTTGACCTCCTAAATAATACACACATTGTAAGCATGCCCTATGGGACAAATCACATTTTTTTACTCTTGAATAAAATATGCATGAACAAAATGTGTGATGTCATTTTTTTTTTATATCTCAACTGTGGAAGTACATTTTAACCTGTGAAATCTTTTAAAAGTTTCATTACGTATATCTGGAAGATACAATTCACGCAGACTCCCCAAAAGTCGACAACAGAAGAGTGGAAAAATGTTGCGTAGTCAGATTAATCTCAATTTCTGCTGCAAAATGCAGATGGTAGGGTCAGAATTTGGCATGACCATGAAAGCAAGGCTCAATCCTGCTGGTGATGCAGTGTTGTGGGGGATATTTTCTTTGCACACACTGGGCCCCTAAATATCAACTGAGCATCATTTATACACTAGCCTACCTGAGAATTGTTACTGACCATGTCCATACCTCGATAACCGTAATGTATTCACATCATAGATGTGCAGCCGACAAATCAGCAGGAACTGTGTGATCGTGTCATGTCAACATGGACCAAAATCTCTGAGGAATATGTCAAGCACCTTGTTGAAATCTGTACAACATAAAATTAAAGCAGTTATGAAAGCAAGAAGAGGTCCAATCCTAAAGGCATACTTTATCACCATAACAGTAATTTACTGTTAAGATTTTCTGTAATTTTCCAGTATAAGACTTATTTTACAGTGTACCCACTGTTATCTACAACATGTTTTTACTGAAAAAATATTACATTACTCTAGTGTAGAATAATATAAACTATAGAAACGATATAATATTATATCAAATATTTGGTTGCCATATTGTCAAAAACAGCTCATTACTGTAAAATGTGTTAAAGTACTGTAAAGCTGTTCCAAATGTTAGGCAGATTCTCAGTATGCCTTTTTATGTCAATGCTCCAGAATGCTGAAGTCAATTTATTTATCTTTATGAACCAGATTAAAAAAAAGTACTGTATGTACAGTAAAGTATTTGATTACGCTTCTTGACATTTAATTAAGTGTGCCTTATTTTATGCCATAAACAAAAGCAATCATGATAGTGAGCCATTGTCTCAGACATATAGACAATTATATGTAATTTTGTGTGTTGAGCCTTTTTTTGATGGGATGGGATTTTACTCAGAATGCAGATTAATCAAAAAGCTCGACTACCAGAAGTTATTTTTTCAGAAGCTTTTCCTTGTGTGTGTATATATACACTTACATGTTTTTTTAAAGGCACATTTTAAACCTTATTACACCGGATATGACGCCACCACGGTCTCGCCCCCGTCGCTTGTCCATCACTGGACGGAGAGATCCCTTTAATTTGATAAGGTGGCTCTTTAAACGCCAATAAAACAGAAAAACAGTCAATTTCAAGACTCTCAGCTTAAATGATGGCGAAGCTGCAGGCCTGTTTGCAGCCTCACAACTACCGCCACCGTCTGCTAATCGGATAGAGAGAAGGACTTTGAGTGACTGCAGGATTGCGCCTTGCTAACGTTACGCAGCTGCTGTCTGTAACCAAAGCTAGTCGGCTATCTAACGTTAGCTGAAGCGGCTCCGCTTTGCCATATGATATTGACGCTCAGTGTACAGGGACAAACCTGGGCAGACAGCGACTTGCTCCGCTAAATAGCCCAATACCGCTGACATGGACAAAGAAGAAGCAGACCGGCTGATAGAGAAGGCCAAGCTGTGTTTACGGTCAGGACGGAAAGATCGGGCGTTGCAGCTGCTATATGAGGCGCAGAACATTTACCCCAGCACCCGGGCCAGAGGTAAAATTAGCTGACGCGCATACTGCAGTCATGGCCAGATTATTTGCTAACCTCGTCCCAGTACTTCACTTATTCCAACCAATAAACTGTAGTAAATATATATT